TTGCAATGTTGGCATTTGTGTCCACATATAAGTGTAAGGATTGAGCCTACCAGTTCTCTGTGGGCCTGAGAATTTGCCTTTTCTCTAAATTGAGAGAGGTGTGAACACCAGCTTTTCTGTACTCACTGCACAAGCCAAGAAACCACCCCATTACATCAAATACCTTGGGACTCCTTTTTCCTAAGGCAAGGTGCATGCACCAAAAGTTTTTTGTTTCCAGTCCAACAGAAGGAATTTAATACTGCAGAGTTGCCCCTGTCTGTGGCTGGAAGACACAGTGGCTGCTCAGAGCTAAACAGGAGCTCATCTGTAAGGCAGCAAGATAAGGTGAAGCTCAGCAACACAGACCTAAGCAAAGTGACCTGGGCTGAGATCCAGAAATACAGAAGATACGGCATTATTTTTAAGTATGAGAGGTGTGATCATTTTTAGATTTTGCAGAGCCCTGATAGGACTGTCTGCATGCTTAAATGATAGCCACTTTGGATTTTCTCCAGCCACATCCAGGATAATAGTCACCCGTACTGTTAAAATCACTTCTCTGAGCAGCTATGAAGCAGAAATTCACTCCAGCATCCTCTTCTGTTTCTTGTCTGAGGGATGATTTTTTTTGATTATGTGTTTTAATGTAAGAGTCACAATGTTGTCCTGAGAGTTGTTTTATTCTAAAGGCCAGATTTTTAACTATGAGGAAATTGGGGGACATTCATTTGGGGGATTTTGCTGCTGTTTCTGCAGACATACAGCATGCTTCTGTCAGGATGGGGTTGTCAGGGCAAAGTATTGAGAAACATTTTATGGAGATTTCTACTCAAAGAGATGAAGTTGCATGGTCACAAAATCCATTTTACAGTTTGATCCAATACAGATCGTGCCAGCGTGTCTTCCATGTTTCCTACCCCTTCGTCTCCCCAGCCCCAATCATAAGTATAGCTGGCCAGTGTAAGTGTGCTTGCATTGCTCTGCCAGTACTTCTTGTCGGATGTATGATTCAGACCCACATTCAGCGTGGACTGGAGCCACAGAGCAAAGAAAACTCAAAGTCATGCAACTTTTCTCTCGCTTTATAGCAGTCTAAAAACGTATTATTTTTTAAGGAAGAAAAGATTAAAGCCTTCATACCCATGCCCATCTTTGGTATTCAACTATTGAATCAAGTTGCTAAAACGCAATTCTATGCAGCTCTGTCTTGAAAACTAAAACCTTCTGCTTTCTATTTTGATTTTGCTTTAATCGCTTGAGCTTCCATAGGTCATTTTGAAAGGAGACAGAAGCTCACTAAACTGTGAGGAGGTTGCTCGTTAGTGGAGCAAATACAGTACTGCAACCAACCAAATATTGATTTAAAATAGAATTGATTTCTCCCTCCAAAAAAAAAGCACACTTAATCCCCTGGGGGGGGGGGGGGGGGGACGGACGGACGGACGGACGACACGGACACGGAATAGAGGGGGTAATCTTAGTGGAACTCAAATTAAGAATTTGAAAACTATAGCGCAGAAATAAAAAGGCCCATCTTTTAAAGCAACCGGATGAATCCCGGGAGCGGGATGCAGCAGGAGCAGCCCGTGCACAGCAGCGTGGCCGCCCCCAGGGTCCGGCCGGAGGGCCGCAGGAGAGCTCTTTTCGCTGCTCGGAGATGCTGGAGGTGATGGGCATCGGCGCCGCGCCCGCAGACCATCCCGCCGTGGAGGGCAGAGGGGTCCTGGGCCGCTCCCCGCGTTCTGCCCGTGTAAGGAGCTGGCAGAGTTCCAGCACCAGGAAACTGGCTGCGACATCGGGCGGGGAATGGCGCGTTCCTCTCCCTGCTCTGGACGAGGGGGTCAGCGACCCCGAGCTCATGTTCCCAAGCCCCTGCCCCAGGCGGCAGAGGCGCTCGGCGGCGCCGGTTCGGCAGCTGTGCGTGCTGCAGCCATCCCTCACCCTGCAGCGGGAGCGGATAACGATAACGGGGACGAGGGAGAGGGCAGACGAAGGGGCACAGGAGATGCAGCCCTGCGGTCAGGTAGAGCCTGCCTCGGGGGTCCCAGGGCTCTCGGAGGAGTCGGGCCCGCGTTCTTGCGACAGGCCCCAGGGCGCAGGGAGGGACCCTACGGAATCTGTCGTGAGGCCACGCTTTCCCAGCTGGGGTAGTGGCAAAGGAACTTGCAGGAAAGTTTGCAAAGGAAAACATAAGAAAAATAAAAAGCAGAACTTGCAGAAAGGCGCTTGCGGGAGTCGGCAGGACTCGGGGGAGGAGGCGGCGAGAGAGGCAAACCCGCCACACGGCAGCGCTCCCACCCTGTCCCGAGGTACCCGGGGGCTTTGCCCAGCCCGCACCCGGGTGGGTGAGGCTCCAGACATAGGATATGCGAGCACCCGGGACAAGTTTCGGTTCCCTAAGCGCCGCAGGGTGACTCTTGTCACACTCTGGCACTTAAGAAACATCCAGGACACTGGTGGTTAGAAGTGATCAAAGACGAGATAAGATCAAAGATCCCTTTAATTGCGAAATGAGGTCACATAGGATTTCCAGAAATATATCAGCTATATATCTGAGGATGTGAAAAGCACTACTGTCATTTAATGTAAGCGGCTGAAGTTCAGAAATGACTGGACACTTACATTCACGTGACTCACAGATTTAACATTTCCCTTTTAGCTAAAGGTAACACAGATTGCACAAAAATAAACAGGAAAATATATATATATATATATGTATGTATGTATTTGGTCAAGCATTCATTTCAGGCAGCCTGTCACAGAGGTACGCGACAGCGGCCCAGTGCCAGTACCGGGCTGGGCACCATCCCCAGGGGCACAACAGGAAAGAGCCAGGAGTGCAGGGCTGTGAGGAGGACTAGGCTGTCCTGCTGCAGCCCTGCGCCAGGCGAGGGAGGGAAGCACTCCTGTTTTCCCGGAGGCAAGCAGCTGGGATTGACGGGAGAGGGGGAACCCTCCGCTGGGAGAGACATAGCGGAGACCAGCCAGGCTAGGCTTGGCCCTCCCTGCCTTTGGCATCGCAGTAACACTGGCTGCTTCTGCCGTAGGTCTCAGCTTGCGGGGGCGGTCGAGTGGTGGTGGATGGGAAGGCTGTCGTGCTCACTCTGCTGTGGCTGCCCGCTCCCTCCCTCCCCTGCCTCCGGGAGCACATGGCAATGTTTTGGTTGATCGGTTTAGTCCGTTTTGTTGTTTGTTGGTATTTGTTATTTGTTTTATGTTGTGGTTTTTTTCTATCCCCAAGTAATAGGTGCCGCTGGCTGCCTCCGGAGCAACCCACAACGTCTCCGGGAAAACTCCCCAGCGGCCTTAAAAATTAAAAAAAAAAAATAATAAAAAAAATAAAAAAAAAGAAAAGCTATTTCACAGGCTGCTTAAACTCACTGTGTCGCTGCGTGCGCGGTGGTGAACTCACAGACAGTCGCACAGCGCCAAGCCTATCCCTGGTAGGAGACCCTAGGTCAAAGGCATTACAAAAGATCCCCATATAGTGAGGGATGCTGTCGGGGTTGAAGCTCCATCACCTCCCTGCGCTGTGATGAAGGGAAGCTCGATGACTGGAAGGTCCTAGCATAGCAGGAGAGAGGTTACGCACACGTAACACAGACGGGGATGTTGCTGTTAAGTACCTTACAAGGTTACAAAACACATTCGCTTTCCCCCCCCCAAGAAAATCCACTTGGTTGTTTCAGAGTTCAAGAAGGGACGAGCCCAAAGCTCCTGTCTCCGCTCAAGGAGTCACCTTCAGCCTCCGTGCTCACGCTGTCGGACCGAGGTCGGGATTTGAACCCCCGCCGTCTCCTCTTAAATCCAACAAACCCGTCAGCGGCGGTTTTCTGCATTTTTCATCTTATTTTTAACGCTGCTACTCGGGCAGACCCTGTGGCTGTACACCGACCACTAGCAACTTCCTGAAAACCCTAAGGCTATCCAGAATGATGGGGGAGGCGAGCGAGGGGCTGTGGCAGCTCCAGCGCCTGGCAGCGGAGCTCGGGAGGCCAGGCGAGGAGAGAGCGGCCACGGAGTCCCCGGTGACCCAGCCAGCGAGGCTTGTCCAACGGTCAGAGGAGGGAGGGAGTTGGGCGCAGAGCGGGATCCTGAACCCCCTGCCCTTCTGCCGCTGTTGTAGAGGGGCTGGGCGAGCGGGACACTGCAGCGCTAGCCAGGTGGATGGAGCGAGTGGCAGGTGCCCTGTCCCGGAGCGGCGGGCTTCACTGCCTGCAAAACTTGCACTTGATAATTTTCTTAAAAGCACTTTGGAAGTCTTTGTTGAAATAGGCATAGATGATGGGGTTGAGAAGGGAGTTGGAGTAGCCCAGCCAGTTGATGACTGCACCCAGCCACTCGGGCATGTAGCACTTACTGTCACAAAAGGGCAGGACCAGCGCCACGATGAAGAAAGGCAGGCCAGCACAGGATGAAGGTGCCCATAATGATGCCCAGGGTCTTGACAGTCTTCCTTTCGCGAGACAGAGCCATCCTTCGCTTGGCCTCCGTGTTCTTCTCGTTGCGCTTCTCGAAGGAGGGGGGCTGCGGGGAGCTGCACGCTTCGCTGGGCAGCGGCAGGTGACTCTTGGAGGATCTGTTGCAGCGCTGGACCTCGATGATCTCCAGGGCAGCCCCGTCCTCGCCATGCCGCACAGCGCCGTTGACACAGACACCAGGCTTGAGCTCTGCTGTCCGCCGCCAACCCTTGCCGGGCTCCCCACTGCTTTTCTTCTGCAGGACGGAGGGGGAGAGGGTGAGGCAGGTGTCCGCGATTTTCTTCTTCTCCACTTTCTTGACAGTTTGCGGATCCTGAAGCGGGCTGCCTTAAAGATGCGGCCGTAAAGGACCAACATGAGGAGGAGCGGAATGTAGAAGGCGCCAAAGGTGGAGTAGATGGTGTACCCATGGTCCTTACTGATGGTGCAGGCGTCGGGGTCCGAGCGGTCTTCGGGCGTCCTCCAGCCCAGCATGGGTGGGATGGAAATCAAGAAGCCGATGACCCAGGTCAGGCTGATAAGCACGGCTGCCCGTCGGGGGGTTCGCTTGTTGACATAGTCGATAGGGTCCGTAATGGCCCAGTACCTGTCCAAGGCGATGGCGCACAGGTGCAGGATGGAAGAGGTGCAGCACAGCACGTCCAGCGAGATGAAGATGTCGCAGGTGACTTGACCTAGTGTCCACTTGTTCAGCACCTGGTAGAGGGCCGCCATGGGCAGCACCAGCACGGATACCATGAGGTCGGTGACGGCCAGCGAGCCGATGAGATAGTTGGCCACGGTTTGGAGGGAGCGTTCCAGGGCGATGGCCGCGATCACGCAGGCGTTGCCGCTCACGGCGCACAGAATGAGCATTCCCAGGAGCAGGGAGGTAAGCAGCTGGTAGCCCAGAGTCACTTCGCCGAAGCCGGGGCCGCCGGCACCCTCGGAGGAGAGCTCTGGGGAGGTAGTGTTGTTGGCCACATCCATGCCGGGCGGGGGGAGTTGCTTCAGGAGACGGGCATGGGAAGAGGCTCTGGTCACTTGTGCGCTCCTATGGCAGTAGGCATCACAGCCCCGTGCGCTTTGGCCACGCTGGACACCCGCGCTCCGCTAGCTTTCCCTCCCTTATATATTGCGGCGGGAGGTGGCCGAGCCTCGGAGGACGGCGGCTGGCGGAGCCGCCCTGCGCCCGCCCATCCCCACCGCCTCTGCCCAGCCCGCAGCCCCGGGCGGTGGGGGCGGCCCTCCTGCCGCCGCTCGCCGAGCTGCTGCCCCTCGCTCCTGCGCTCTCCCGTGCCGCTCCTTCATGGTCTGCCTCTTCTCTTTCCCCTCGCTTTCTCCCTCTCTCCTTCCCTCCCTCCTTTCCTTCCCCTTCCGTGCCCCCCCTCCATCCCGCCCTCCCGCAGGGGGGTCCCTTTGGGTCGGCCTGGGAGGGCGGGCGCCGGTGTCCGTCAGTCCCCGCCGCCCCCTCCCCGCTCTGGGGACACTGCAGAGAAACCCACTACGACTGCTCCTCACCCCACCTTTTCCAAACCTGCACGCCGCAGCTCCGCCCGGGCAGCGAGGACTCTGGGCTTCCCCTAGCGACTGGCGCCGGGGTTTGTGCAGGGTGTGCGAAGCGGGGAGCGGCTCTCACTGGCCAGGCACTGCCGGCTGGGGCCGGGGGCACCGCACACCACGGGGCTGCCTGCGGACGGGAGTACCAGGGCGAGTGGCGGCGGAGCGCTTATCGCCACCTGCAGGCAGGCGGCGGCGGCCCGAGGGCGAGGCGCCTTGGAAGGTGTCGGGGAGCCCCCGCGGCCAAGGGACGGCGGGACTTTCTGTGGCTCTGCACCACCACCCCCTGCCTGGCTGCAGCGGGCACGGGGCTGCCCGGGGAGCAGCAAAGGCCACGCCGCCGAGGGTGCAGGGAGAGAGGGATCACTGGCAGCAGTGTTGCATGGGAGTCTCGGGAGGGATTGCTGTACCGTCCCATGCCGTGCAGGGCTCCCGCTCAGCCGCTTACGAGTGCTGTACCAATGCCAGTTCATTTCGCGACGATTCATGCCCTCTCCCCAGCGTCCTGCCGCGGGGAGGGCGGTCGCTGCCGTCGGAGGCTCCGCGGCAGCGCTCTGGTCCCCGCCGTCCTGTTCACCACTGCCTCCCGGCTCCTCCGAGACAGGAATTACAGTGCAACACGCTGTTGAAATCACTGTCCTCTCAAACAAGAAGAAGGTGAGGGGGAGAGAGAGAAGACGAAGAAAACCCTTATGCGTTACAGGCTGCATCTGAAAGTGAAATGAGAAAAATATCACAGTGAACAATCTTGAATAAAAAAGAGGGTGTCAGATTGACACATCATAAGAAAATCAGTGAATGACCAGTAAATAGAAAAAAAAAAAAAAATCACAAGCCTGGGATTCATCTGTCATTTAAAGAAAAAAAAAAGTAAAATGAAAAAAATGCGGTGTTATCGACAGGTTTAACTACAGCTGTCCGCGAAAGGTAAAACAAAGTAAGTTCTCTGACATAACTTCTGTGGCAGGCTTTCTATTATCTTGCTGCTCGGTATTCTTAATGACGTGAGATCTTTAGCTCTGCTTTGTAATTGTGCCCTGCAAACTCAGAAAATGCAGAAAGCCAAATAAGTAATTGCTTATAAGGAAGATTTGCCAGATTCTAACTTAATCAAACTTGAGATGAGGATAGCAGAGCCTGGCTTGCACCGGCTTAGGTGTCCTCATCTCCTCTCAGTCAACACTTAAAAATAAGTCTGAATTCAGAACTTCCCAACACTTGGGCAGATTTCGGGCCGTTCCTTTTTATGAGCGGTCCAGGTTACATTTCTCGCCCCCCCCCCCACTCCCCCACCCCCACCCCACTTCCCTTCCCCCCCCCCCCCCCCCCCCCGGCTTGCGATCTTTACTATAAACGATCAAGGTTCAGAGATGCGGTGGATCAGCAGAGCAGAGCTGCAACCCTGCATGCCCGTTGTACTGACATTTTCATGTTCTGTGCCCTATTGAGTGAAGACTTACACTACAGAGACACAGACAAAACAAAACGTAATCGATATTTAAGTATGCTTTTCTCCTTCACCACCAGAACCTATTTTCTTTTTAATTTCCCCTCAACTGCACGGCATGGTTGGCTTCTGAACAGCTGCCTATTTAAAGACCCTTTCCCTTCAGTGAAAGCAAAGTTTGTGTTTCCTGCTGTTTAGAGCCAGCCTGATGCAACGAAGAATGCAGCTTTTTGCATGGTGGTGGGCAAATCATTAGCCTAATTAGATTAGCCTGGAATTAGCGTTTCAAAGCCATAGGGGTGCAGGTTTTAGGGATCCACGAAGGGCTCTTGAGGAGACTGTTTCCGGAGACGTTTTGCACTAATACAGCCAAAGGAAGTCAACCCCAGACACTTTTTGCCAAGAAAATCCAGTGAAGAGAAGTAGGCAGGATCCTTTTTCAACTGAAATCTTTTAAATCGGCTTTACTTTTTGAACGTATTTTTTGTTCAGAGACTGAAAGTCATTTCACTCTGAATTAAATTGAGAAGCAATTTAGGCAGCCGTGGAGGAAGGGGAGGGAGTAGGAGGTGAAAGATATAGACGAAAGGAAAACTCACTCTTCTGATGTGATAGTGTCTTTAATCCTACTAGCATTTGAACACAAAAATGCCATTTATACATCCAAGAAACTAAACGATGTGCTAATGTCTTTAGATAACCTAGACGAAGAGCCCAGCAAAATTCTTTAAGGAAAGCCACATAAAATCTAAGCTAATTTAAGACTAAATGAAACCTTAACACCGCCCAACCTTAAAAGTCCAGTTAAAATGTTAACGTTATTCAGTTATGACAGCTGCAGCAAACAAGAGGTTCCTCTGACAGTATGAAAAGAAAAAGCATTAAGAAACTGTGGCAGAAGATGCTTTCCTGAGCAATTGCATTCTATACATTTTGGAAAGAGAGCTATATATTCTTGATGCTTTCAAATTCTGTCTGTTATCTATTTGCTGAAATAAAATTGAAATGCTACAACCACAGCACCCTGTTCTTACAATTGCATATTGCACTTTGATTTGAAAAGGATTTGGGTCTTGAGTTGGGGTTTTTTTACTATTCACCAGGATAAAATACAGTATTAGTGTTATTCAAGAGATTATATTCTGGTAATGGTTTCAATATGTGGGTTTTACTAGGCAGCTAAGGAAATGAATTATTTCAGTTCACTGAAACCGATCCAGTCAAGTTGCAGTTTTCTGTGAGAGAAGTTCAAACAGGTAGAAGGAAATATGTGCCAGGAGACAACCTACCAACTACAGCCTCCTTGAATTTTCTCATTAGGCATTTTGGAAATAGAGCCAACAGGAATTAGCACTGCTCCTCACTGTTCAAATCCTTCTGAAGAACAGCTATAACTTTAAAATACAGAAAAGCAAACAAGAATTTCATGGCTGAAATGACTTCATCATTGAAACTCATCCGTTTCATGCAAGCACATGCATTCCACTATGAGATCCACTTCAGGATATCTGCTCCCACCTTTTGTAAAGCACAAAATGTTTCACAGTGTAAGCAAATTTAAACTTTCTACTGTAAAATGCCAAAAGCTGAAAGTTAAAGGCCATTGCTAACATTGTAGCTGACTAGCTCTCAGCCAAACTTCTCTGGACCAAAATGAGTCCAAATTTGGCATTCTGTTTAGTCCTGACTTTGTGGAGAAGATGAACCATCCAGGAACCTGAGGGAATTTCAGTACCAGTAGCAGAACTGTTCCCTGTGACCTCTCTGTAGCTATGATCAATTTGTGAAGTCCTGCACATAGAAATCATATATACGGAGGGGGGGGGGGGGGGAATCCCTCTGGAATGCTACAATTAATCAGCTCAGAATCAATAAACTACAAATGCAGAGCAAGAGCACAAAAAGGAAGCCTATGTTTCCAACTTCTGGATCACCTTTGTGTCATCTCAGTTCTCCATGGAGCCCATAGGGCTGGCTAGTTGTGGCCCACTAGGAGCCATTCAGTGCTGAGACATTGCATTAGCTCTGCAAGAATCAGCTTGGGCCTAAAAGGTAACAGCATCAGCACATCAGCACAGCATTCAGCTTCAGTACTGAATTAGGTCCAACTGAGATGTCTCTCGACCTACTCCTTAACATTCCCAGTTCTGCGAACAGAACAGTGACAACCAAGGACAGGTCTGGAAAGGTCTTATAGCTCTGGTGTCTGTCATGCCAAAGCAGCAGTGCTGCTTCATAGCTTTAACAGGACTTGGGAATGGTACATCTGGGTTCACACATTGCCAATTCAGTTTCTTTTGGCTCTGCCCTGAACCCAGTCAGATTTCTCTTCCCTCTTCATTGCACAGTTAGAACCAGATCAACAATCTGGGCCCTATAGCCCAGAAGAATACCATGGAAGACACAGGAATAACCACCACCTCAGGATGTTGGAGTGCCTATTATGTTTCCCATGTTAGTAACAATGTTTTCAGTTGCCTGAGATACCCCTGTTGCCACAATCATACTAGACAATGGTGGGCAGAATGCAAATATTTTATTCCATTCAGCTATCTTACAGCCCCTTTTGTGTTCATAATTTTCATTAAGGCCAGAAATTATTTAGATATGCAAGTATTTATTTGCTACCTCTGCCTTTTCTCTGCCAAGAGCTTACCATAATAACTAACATTGTAGCATAACTCAGCATAAGCCTCAAAAGAGCATAATTAATTCCACCTCACAGTCTTAGAAGTAATAGAACATTAGGTAAAAGTTTAATCCAAAATGAATAAATGTTATGTATATTCAACGAGCATCACTGAAATTAAACTGTTCCTAGTGATGCCTGCTATCAAAATCCTGGGGCAGCTTTTATGCAAAACTAGAAATTTAAGATGAATTTTGAAAGAAGTTCACTTTCTTCTCTGAAGGAAAGAGAATTTCAAGCATTTTTGTTCAAAATTTTTTTATAAGTTTATAGAAACTTCACAGAAGTTTTACATTGAATTTAGGCTAAATTTTCTTCTGTGCACAGTGCAGCTGTGACGAAGAAAGGTGGAAAGTTGTCTCTTAACCACTTGTGCATTTTCTCAATGCTTAGGCTGCTAAGCACAGATATGATCCCAGAGAAGCTCTGACAATCTATTTAGTTAACTCTAATTGGGCTGTGGGGAACAAAGCAACGTTTCTGAGGTTTTTATCAGCACATCTGTGTCAGAGACAAGCGAAAACAATACACAGAGGTGGTGCATTAGGAACTGGTTTCTATGAATGAAGATGTCGTAACTGATTAAGAATCACCTGTGTAACGCAATGCTGTTCCAAGAATATGGAACCTGGCTAAACCATTTCTTAAAAACTGAACCCCAATGCTTTTAATGTACTTAAAC